AGAGCGCCCGCTCTCCCTGCTCCCGCGCCGGCTTGCAACAATTCCCCATTCAGTGCAATGACTTGGGAATCTGCCTGCAGAGGCATTCATACCCGCTCATCACCAGGACCCAGGAATAGCTCCAGCGTATCGGATGCCCCCGGCCTGTTCACACGGTGCCCTTTGAGGAACCTGTCTCTTGAGAAGAGCGCTGGAGTGATCCTGTCATCAGGGGCTTCATGATGACAGCCTCCTGTGTGACTCGGGGTCAGGTTATAGCCACAGCCCAGGTGAGGGACAGGGCCCCGTTTATACTCAGAGACCGAGAAAATGAAACCTAGGGAAAATGCCGGGGCCTTTCCCAAAGCCAAGGAACTGCCAGAGGTCTATGAGTGTGGGGCAGGCATTTTCCATGCTCTGTGGGGGCCGGGAGCTGTCTCCCCGTGGCCCCGCTCCACACGCTTCCCGGTGCCGGTGCTGGTGCAGGTGCTTTCCCCCTCGGTTCGTTCTCAGAGATCCCTTGTTGCTCATGGGCAGCACGCCCTGGCATTGGGAAGGGCTGAGCCAGCCTCAAAGGCTGAGTCTCTGCAATCCCATGCACTGAGGGTTGTCTGGAAATTCAGACAGTCCATTATAATCAGCTCACAGCTGGACTTTTAGAGGTATTTAGGCACTTAACCCCGCCCCTGAAATCAGTGGGAATTTAGGTGCCTAAATAGCTGCACGTGTGTGGCTCTCAGCAGGTGAGAACAGGGAAGCAAACAACAGTTTGTGCAGGATTGAGCAAGGCAGGACCTGGGTGTCCCATCAGCTCTCTATGCTGCAGAAGAAGGAGAGCGGGGCCTGCCCAAGGCACTGCACCCAGATCCCTGCGTCTGTGCCTCGCTGCCCTCCTGACAGGGTTGCCAACCCCACACAACCTCCAAGCTTTATTTTTACTGACGTATACTTTTACTGTTCTTTTGTGCAAAAAAAAAATGTACCCTTTTCAGTTCACATTCTGCTACTTGTGGTAAGCAGTTATCCTAGGATCTTGGATTCATGGCCTGGGCCAAAACCTACGTAATCCCAAAGGGAGACTTCCTCGCCAACAGCAGGCCGGCAGGTTTTGCACTGCGTACATCTCGTACCGTGCCAAGTGCTACCACGAACCCCTTCTTCCACCGGCTGCGTTTCGCATCGCGCTTGCTGTCCTTGCCCTTGCGGATCCAGCTTTGAATTTGCCATCTGTAGTCCAAACGGACTGAAACGTACACTTCCACCTACCTTTGCTTTCGTGAAGTAGGTTCGCAGAATCATAGGAGCATTCATTGCACTTTTAAAAATGAGTACTTATTCTTTTCCTGGCTGCTATTTTTTACACATGACAACATCGTGAGCGATGATGAGTAAAGTCTTACTTGACTGCAGCAATGCTTTCACACCACGCTGCCCCCACCCCAGGGGTCCCCTACTCACCCCCACACCCTGGTACCCCCAGCTGCACCCAACACGGACCCCCGCCTGCCACCTCCCCTCTCCCGGCTCCATCCTGGCTGCACCCGTCTCATCCAGTGCCTCAAACTTCCCAGGGCTGCTTCTGAGGCAAGCCAATTTTACTGTTGCCTTGCTTCACCCAGGCAAGAGCTCAAGGAAGGCTCCCGTGGAAGGTGTCCATGGGAAAAACTAGGCACAGACCCCTGGGTCACTGCCATTGTGCAGCATGAAGCAGGTCCCGCAGGCAGAGAAGTCAAAGAGACCCCGTCAGAGGATAGCAGCGCTGCCTGTGAGCAGGCCCTGAGCTCTGTTGTTGAGACCCATCACACACCTTCAGCTCACGTCCTTTCCCACCTGTGTGTTATAAGGGGCGGGCTCCCTGCCCCCAGCGGGACTTTCTGAAAGCAGGGTTCAACCCCACAAAGCACTGACTCTGCCAGCAGGGATACTCGGATACAGCCCCCTCCTCTGTCCATCCCGCACCCCCTGCCCCAGTCGCTTGCCCCCGTCCCTGCCTTGCTCCTGCTCTCGGAGCCTGAATCTTCCCCGGGAGGCTTCTGCCAGGTTCAAGAGCGCCCAGCATCACCCAGGGGTGCTGGAGAGCCGGGGCTCCAGGGATAAGTGTCTGTACAGGTCTTTACTTCGACTCTAAGGAAGCGGGACAAAGCTCAGTAGGGACACATCCTCTCTCAAGGCTGGCTCACTTCTCACAGCCCCAGCCCCTGGGCTCTAGGCTCCAGGCGCAGCAGCGATCGCTGGCTGCGGTAGCGGCTGGTCCCTTCCATCCCCAGCGTCAGTGCCCGGGACGGCTGCCTCGGTCACCCCACCCTCGTTACACCGCTGGCTCAGCACGCCCCACTGCGAGGGGCACTGTGGACCTGGCCCCGTGTTGTGCAAAAGCCCCAGAAGTGCACGTGGTCTCCTCTCCCTCTGGGACTCACGGGTCCTTCAGGCCTGTGCACAAGCTGCCTTCCCCCATGCACGTCCTGTACGATTCTGCCTCTGCACGTGGCAGTCGTGGCGGAGGACAGACTGGAGCACACAGTCAAGCCTAATCATCTCCTGGGGGGTTCATGCCTGTTGGGACAGTCGCAGCTTGGAGCCTGGCTGGTGGCTCGGGGCCTGTGCTGCCTGAGGATCTAAGCCTGGAAATCATTCTTGCTCGTCCCCATGCATCTCTGTGCTTGCAGCTCCCAGCAGCTGGAGACTGGAGGCAGGTCCTGCAGCAGGACTTGGGGCAGGCTGCGCCTTGGGGGATGCCTGGCGAAGCCTCACCCCCCCTCCGCTCTTCTTGGTGCCACGCAGGCTCGGTCCTGCCTGATGCCTCAGATGCTTCGGTCCAGCCCCGGCTCGTGGGAGTGCAGCTGCCTGCGCCCGTGCTGCGGCAGCCGGCCACACCGCTCTCCCAGGGCGGCTGGGAGCCAGTTTTCGGCTGGGCCTGGGAGCGCTCTTGAGTCGTTAGGTGAACAGCACCACCTTCAGGAGCTCTGGCCCTCCACTCCTCGCTGCTTCTCCCTGCGCCTGACGACGGGTGTTTGTGCCCGAAAGCTTGCAAAGAACATCGTTTCCAACTAATCAAAGAGATTGCATCTACCCGAAGAGCCTCACCTGCCTATGTCCTCCGACCAACACGGCTACAGCCAACAGCTCTCAATGCAGGGCGCTTCCACCTCCCACCCGTGTGCGCCGTCTTCCCTGCTACCGCTCCGGCGAGGCTCAGCACAGCTCGGGGCAAGCCAGAGCTCTGGAAGGGGGTGTCGCGGCCCAGCCTGCGCCGTCCGCAGAGACCAGAGATGCCAGGGCAGAGGGAGGATCGTTGGCGAGGCCCCGGAGCGTATCTTTATGGAAGAACTGGAAACGGGGCTAGGCTGCACCACGTATAAGTGCCGTGCCCCAGTGACCCTCTCTATGGACTGCCTTGCTGGAGTCCTCTCCAGTTTCCGGTGGGGAGGGAAGACTTTGAGCCACCAGAGTGAGGTTCAAGGGAATGTGACCCACAGGAGCAGGACCCAGCGGAGCCATCGCGTCTTCAACTCGGTCATGAGCAACCCGTGGTACAGGTCCCCTTGCTTCCCCCTTCGGCCCCTTTGCTCCCCTAGCAGGAGACATCTCCTGCCTTGTTCAAGCTTCGACAAGGTCCCTCAGAAAGGAAGGCCCCTCATCTAGGTCAGCCAGGTCTTCCTCTTGACTTCTTGCCTAAGGGAACAACAGGGCGGTAAAGTAGCTGAGATGAGTATAGCCGGGAGGCTCCCTCCTGCTCTTCCCTTCGCTGGAGTGTGTTACACGCCCAGACCAGAAGCTGCTTTAAAACCAAAGTTTGATTGACCTTAGTATCCAAAACCAAGCATCAATGGCTGGCCCAGATCACGCTGCTGCTAATGACAGCATTTCCGATGCAGACTTTTGAATTTACCTATGTGGCCTCCAAATACCTGGCAATAGCACGCTCATATTTTAAAATACTGAGGAAAATACCTGACGTTTGAACTGCACAGGAAAACAATAATTTAAACACAATCCCTAGATCGTCTCATGCTTCTCCCCTGGATGTGGGTGGTGTTTGCTCTTCTGTTTCTTCACCAGCACTGCCAGAAGTAGGACAGGCTGCTAGCCCTTCCTATAATAGGTGCAATTTGACCATCTCTTAATAATCTCCCTGCCAAAAGAATTATTAGCAAACATATTTATATCAGGTAAAACATCTTTAAAACACCAAACCAACTAGATTAGGGAAACATTAGTGAAAGGTGCCCTGAGTTACCTGAAATTGGTTTAAAACAAAACCC